CGTGTCGTGGGTAAAGTTTACGTGTGTATTTAGACCTCTGGTGTGTGAGTCATACATGCGCTAACATCGAGACCTAGGTGTGGGGACACTATAAGATAAACATTCCTGCTAATGAAGGGGGAGTTGAGGATTCGAGCGACTGGCGACATGCTGCGACAAGGGGCACCCTGTGTAGGAGGTGGAGCGACCGCATTAGGGGGTTGAATAAACAGGATTCACGACACAGTCAGCATTTTAGTGAGTTGCATCATTCTTTGAGTTGCGCGAACAAGGCGTTTACTGCCTTCTTTAATTTGGCGCTTCGATGTGTCTACTCACGTGTGGTCCGAAGGCGCCAATAAAACTCGTATGGTGCAAAGTCTGAATGATTAATTGGTCTATTCAAAACATGGAGGGGTGCAGACGATGTCCGCCTGCTCCCCAAGTTCTTTCTTGTCTCAGTCGAAAGCGCGAGTAGTACGTGCAGGCTTTGGGTGACCTTGACTACCAGTAAAGTCGGTGAAGGTAGACCTATTATAGAAGTGCGCGGTTTCTATGATATTTTAAAAGGCATCTGCTGCTGAAGTAAGTTGCTAGTGCCTTTCATTCTTCCACTTTCATCTCCTGAATCCTTTGTGGAAGCCCTTGCAACTGCCCTCCGCTGAAAATGGGCTAGTTTTAATTTGCACTCCCTTCCCCTCTTTCCAGTACTCTTAAGGCCTGGAAGTTGGTGGACCCAGAGATGATTCGACCTCCAGAAAGTCCTCCTCCAACTCTTTTTCCATCGGGTTCCAGAGGTCCTCGAAATGCAAATTCTGTCGCCACAAGACCTCTTCACGTCCCCTTTGATGCTAATGTGAGTGTCCCCATCCCGATTCACACTTGCTCCTTCCTTATTTTTACAGCACACCAGCATCAAAATGGATAAAAACACATAACTTGTTTCCATGAAATCGCATTTCTACGTAGCAGTTGAATTTTTTGCGTAAAATTCCGCGGAAATGTGTCAATAACAATATTGCTGCTCGTTGCTTCGGAAAATCAACTGTGTTTGCCCTCTGTAATAGCGAAGGGCGTGATCGTCGCAGTATTGCGTAATTGTCTAATGCGGCTCTGACGGTTACTCGTCTTCATTGTCAAAAGTACCCACTTCAAATCGTCGACACGTTTCTAATTTTTTTGCAATGACCTAGCTTTCACTCTCATGTCGATTTTGGCTTCGTTTTGATTGAACCCAAGTTTGATGTGTCGACGGACTTATACAAATCGTAAATTTATGTTTTCCCTGTAATATTCATGTTTACATTCCACTTTTGTAGGATAAAGGGACGATTTCTTCTGGGACTGGGAGCGTTGTCACCTCGCAAAACAACGGTAATTTCTCTTTTTATATTTGCTGTAATTTTATTTAACTGATGGCCTTTTGGATTGGTCCACTAGTTAGCGCGCTGCTTGAATGTGGTTTCAGGATTATCCAGTAAACCCTTACTTGCTGGTTTTCAACCACCACCGGCACACCGACTAGTGACTCACTCCGGCCAGTGCGTGCGTGTTTGTGTGTGTTTGCGGGCGAGGTCACCGTATCGCAGACGCTGGATCACTTAACGAATCCATGTCTATTCTGCGCTTAGCACGTCTGTCCACGATTTCCAGTTCAATTTGTGCGATTGACGCAAGATACCTTCCGCCATGTTTGGTTTGTTGCGTTGTGATTGGTTCCCTTTGCGTGTCGATTTACGATTGGCGACGATGCCGTGCGTGACTGACACGTCGGCCATACCGCGTGTTTCACTATCATACATCGCCTGGATCCTCTAATGGCTCAAAATCCACATGAAATGATTTTTCACTTCAAGCGAGGCATCAATGTCACGTTTTTCGCAGTCCTGTCTTCTACCCACCTTTCGAAGCCTGTATTTACAAGTTACTTGGTATTATCATACGGACCAAAGTGATTTTCTACTTCACTGAAATACAAAGAGACCTATTGGTTATCCGCATAGCTGATATGGTCGTCCTTGTCATGTCGCACACAACTACCTACACCTGGACAATTTTGCTTTGATAATACAACGCTATTATGCCCATACGTAAGATTAACATCTGCCCTGACAATGTCGACTAACTTGTTTGAGTCCAGTGGATACCCAGGTGTTGACGTGAATTATGCACGCTGTACTGTCAAATTACACGATACTTTTGATCAGGTATCGATCCATGCGATCTGGTAACCTCCGAAACCGTTCGTGCTCGCGTGTTTCAAACGCTATCTTTGGTGTACTACAATTTACAACACCTGTACATAATCTGTGACTGAATCACTGGCATACGCCGCCGCAAAGTCACGAGAGATTCAATGTCGACTATCTCAGTATACGCACGGATAAAGAGCATTCAACTTGCTTACGAAAATCCTGATTTCGGAATATTTTGGGTGCTCAACATGAGCATAGGTAAAAAAAACTAGTTTAATGTTAGCATTCACGCCCTCTGCAACTAACTTTAAGTGATATCTGTTGAATGAATCTCTTGTCTAAAAAGTAGGACAAGCGCAAATCACAGTGCGCAGCCAACGCCCGAGTGACACGGTCGATTGGACTGCACGTGGCGACCTTGATCTGATCTGCCTCAAGAGGGACTAACGCAGATGGGAGCCCTATGTGGGGGGGGGGAGATGAGCTAGGTCAGTGGCGTGATCGGGCGAGGTGTGTGTGTTAACAACGGCGAAATCTCAATTAGGTGCAGCTCAGGCTGGGATAATCCAGTCTTCCCCATTAATTCCAAAACATTTTCTACATTTAAATTGCTGCCATGTCCGTTTTACGTAAATTCTTATGACACCGTCCAAGTATCTGTGGCTATTTTTAACGTCTGTACTTTAGAATTGCGACTTAATTGGTTACATCGCCTTGGTGTGTGCGATAGTTAGACCGTTCAGAGGAGTCGGTATTTTCTTAAAAAAGTTAATTTTTTTTTCTAGGAATCGACAACCTCACGGTGTTCCGTCGCGTAAATAGGCTTCTTTTTGCACTTTTAAGCAATCCCTCCATTCGGCTAATTTCTTGGACACTTAAGCACGCACCAACGTATGCATTTTACTCCTACCAAAGTTTGTGAACCGACTTGGTCTTTGGTGTTGCAGAGGCATCTGTCCTTTTACTTAAAGTTATGCATTTCGGAGGATCATCATCATCAGTATTAACCAAACCGATTCGAGGTGATAGCAACTAGGAAAATGGCGATACCGCGATGCGTACATTGTTTAAATAATGCACGAAGCTCGGTACAGGCTGAAACGTCTGGAAACGGTAGTAGCCCGCAAAATCTTAAAGCCCACGCGCAGAACGTCCAACAACGCACATATTGAACAAACGCTTCGATTATACCACTTTGGCATAATGTAACCCCTGCACTCTTCCACTAAGCAAATTGTAAGTAGCACTCTGCGAGAATCAGATCAAATTAACGAATAAATCAAAAACAAGTTGGTAAATGTACACTTCTAGTCACTGCGAGACGTAGTATCCTGGTGGGTAGTCGATAATTTGCCTGTATATACGGTCGTTCACTTGCAGGTGTATTGACAACGGAGCAGTCGACACTCCGAGTGACCGTGGCTAGGTACGTGGACGAGGAGGGAGATCACAACCCGGAGACAAACTTCGTTGGTCGAAACATCGTCTCCCGGACAGTCGCATCCAGCACCTCCCCACACATCACTCCCATCGACCACCCGGACGGTTAGTGGACTGGCAATCGCCCCACTAGGCAGGTACATGCCTTTTTTCCCACACAAAATCGTGGTGCGTCACTACGAAAAAGAGTTTCATTTTGGTGTGATTCTGATGACGTGGAGGGCTCGTTAAGTTTGCAGCGGCTTTGTCGCTTTCCGCTCAACCTGGTCACTTGTTAAAATCTGGTCAGGCTTTGCCCGTTCACGAGCGGTGGCTTTCCTGTCTGAATGAGTGCGATGTGCTTCCTTTACGCTGAAGTCGTCGGAGCACCTCCCACTCAATGAGACGGGGTGCAATTGATCCTCACTTTGCAAATATTTTGCATTACGCAAGAAGAGCAGAAAAACACGTCGTTTTTCAGTACCACTACTTTGTTAAAAACATACTGATTCTCACTTTGCCGTTTTTCACAAATTCGGTCAGCCACAGTCCGTATGACTCATCGATAAATCGAGACCCCCTTGTGTGGAATTTGGCTGTCTTCGTTGTGATTCATTTGCCTAAAGAAGTAGGCCATGTCAACAAGAAAGTCGAGTCTCGCGGTGAACGTTCCGCCGTCGCGATGTCGTATAAAGAACTGCGCCCCGTGTGTGCGCAGACTTCGGGTGATTTCTTTTTTCATATTTCCTGTGCTTTGTTGTCGCCGTTTTAACCTTTTCAACGTCATGAGTAGGTTCTCTTCCGCCAGTCTCTCTGACTTCCTTTGCTTCTTTCCGGTCGTTTTGGATTTGTAGGTCAGCAGTGATAGCTTTTTTCTGCGACAGTAGGCCACACACCAGATGCCTATCAGTAGGATGTGCGTTGCGCCACACAGTGAAATGGCCACAATAAAACCGGTCCTGCTCCGTTGATTTTCTGTTCCAAAATCAACCAATTTTGCCGCATCACTTTTTGCCAGTTGTATAAGCAGGTAGGCAAGTGGCAACACACCCATTGTGAGGGATCGTTTTAATTGTGTGAAACTCCTTTCCTCCAGGTATCGATTTTCCTGTCTCATTTCGACTTCAAAAACAGCTGTTTGAGAGCCCAACATGAATTCTGAATGGCACTTTTTTCTGTTTGGTCATGCCCATAGTTGATAAAGTGTGAGCCCAAATTGCCCGTTGGGCGTCATCTTTGAAGTTGGGACATTTAGGTCGAAACACGCAAAAAAATTGCCTCATTTTACAAATTCCTCTGCAGAAATTTGGAAAATTTTAAGGTTAATATCAATATAATCGTTTTCAACGGCTTTTTTTGAAATCTGGTGCTATAATTAGACGCTATCTTGTATCTTCTGAACGAGTAAAGCGGTTGTGGATTGAGTGAGCTTCTATCGCATCATTTGAACCAACACTGTTAATCAACGTTTACTCTCTTAGCGCTTGTTGGAATCCACGATCGATTTCGGCAGCTCTGTCCGATGTCTAACGTCGTGCATAGATTTGGACTCTGATCAAAAGATTTTGTTCAAACTAAAACGAAATTTGACATAAGCTTCATTTAGGAGAAGTTTGTCCGTGACGATATTGGAGACTTTCTCCTTAGTTTGGAACAATGTGATCTAGATTAATTTTTGGACGGAAATCGAGCAACGAGTTTATAAAGGAGCCTCAAGGTAGTCAAGTATATCTCGGGCATGGAAGGTGGTTGTACACACTTCCAGCACCTTTTGAGTTTGTGTCGTCATGTGTGGTGACAAAACGCAAATTTAAAACTGCGCTACCGCCGTCATTAACATGGTTCTTTTTTGTTTATATTTCAGATTTCGTAGTGTCTTCCCAGCCGAAATTGCTTTCAACCTCGCAGAGCTTACACCACGTGATAATGTACATACAAGGGCTCGCTTGTCTAATTTTATGCCCGTATGCCACAATTTTTTACATAAATATATGCATCCCCTTTTAATTTACCTATATTCTTCGTGTCGTGAGCCATTTGAAATCGACAAGTCGTTGTCATCCTGAATCCGAAAATGGGTCTAAGTATTGATATTCAGACTGATTTAACCACCGGTGTCGTTCTGACGAGGCGTCTGTCGTCATAACAATTATTCGAGCGTTATTCATGATATCGTGAGGCGAGCGCATTTTAGAGCGCTTGGTGCGGTTCCAGGCGTGATCGGTCACGTGACAACAGGTGAGATCCCGTTGCGCGCACGCGAGTGCTCTGTGAAAACCCGCAGGTTCTTCGTAGCTTTCACCTGCTCGCAACACCGACCTCAGTTGTTTTAGTGTTGACCAAGCGTCGATTGAAGCCTTACCTTGGCGAAATTATGCGAGCGCGTCGCAAATCCCGTCTGTATCGACGTACGGGTGTATTCTGTGTGCTTGGCGATTGGTCTAGGGTCTGGTAATTAAAAGATTCCGAGTTGACTAGCATATGACACCATGCATTAGAAAAGAAGTAGTTTAAAATCGGTTTTTTAATATCAACTCAAAGAATTCCAAAATTGAGTGCCATAAGGTTACATTCGTTGAAGCTTCGGTGTGTTTTGGTGTCCTACATCGATGTAACCTACTTGCTTAGTCCTAGGTGTGGTGTTTAGATAAGCTTATGAGATTAGGAAGGCCTGAAATTTATCCAAAGTGGCTTGCTCCATGTGTGTGACGGAGTTACGACTAAAAATTAAAATCAATCTCAACGCCCGCAAGCTTCTTCGAACACTTCCAACCTTGGTGTGATGATAGTTAAGAGCCATTTTCCTTAACATGGAGTTTCCAATGATGATTTCTTCCATCATGTTGTAAGCATGATGGGGCACGGGGAGTATTGCCCAATTAATTCAACCGGTTGAGGTTTAGGAGTCGGGAGCTGAGGCGAGTCAAGTTAGCACCGAAAGCCGAGTCACTAGTGGGTTGGCTTTTAATTACAGTCCTTCCTTTCTGCCTTGTATTTGAAAATGAGATCGCAGGTATGCTAAAGCAAGGCAATTGGCCGTTACCAAAATATGATAGAGAGGATTCGTCGTCAACGAGAAACAATTAAGTAAATTTATCCTTGCGGTACAAGATCTCGTGAAAACGTTGCAGCAAGAATTTGGTGTGGTGGGAAGATAGCTGAGGTCATTTTTAAGAGATTGTAAGAAGTTAGTAGTCGTCTTCCGAATCGACTGGAAACGGTAATACATGACGATACATCATTTCAGCAAAATATTCGACACTAAAAACCCAACCAAATGCGACTTCTAAATGAGTTCACTGAAGGTTCAGTTCGTGTCCTACAGCGTAAACACCCATTAAATTCTAATGGATTTATGATGTTTGCTTCACGGCTATAAATGCCACACAATTTTCTGTGATTCTGAGGTAAATGCCGATGAAGCTTGTGAGGGTAACATGAACTCACTTTGCGAAGTTAATTAAATGAGCCTAATTAAGTATATTAGGTGACACACACATGCAAAGCCTGTATCAATTTCATCGACTTTGGCTATTTGTGATTTGCATGGTTCATCTGTTACCCTTTATGAAATCTGATGAATGTCGCCTTGATGATACAAATTGGGAGACGAACATGGATAAAGGCAGCGTCTTTCGCACCTTATACCAGAGTTGCGGGGCATCAAACAAAACCAGGTAGTACCTAGTGATGTTCATTAAAAAACACGCGGATGGAGGCAAGTACATTGCCCCTTCACATCATTAAGCTGATTATGCGGCCACAGTTCAATTCCGTCAAAGTCCCAGTGAAAACTACTTTTTCAAGAACATGGTTGTGGCGAATTTAGGGTGAATGCCACACACACACGCCATTTAACAAGGAGTTTGCGAGTAGCAGCTAATTGCGTCGGAACAGCTCCTAAAATGCCCTCTTTCGAGCATAGCCAGCGTGCACCCGATTTCGGGACTGTACTGGACGCGACGCCCCCCCCCGAAGATGCCCTTTGAAATCACCTCCTTTCATGCTCCTACAAGCCAGCATCAATTACCCCACCATTGGTCGCGCACTACCGACCTGACGTTACCCATCCTCTATTGAGACCAACAGCAGCCATTACCCACTGCGCATGCGGATTTATTCAAACAACTTGGTCGAGCCACATGGTGAACAGTCGAATCGTTGTTCTTTGGCCTCCTCATCCTCTCAAAAGTATCTGCATGTAGAACCGGGCGTAGAGAGCACCCTAGAAAAATCTAAGCACCCAACTTTCGAACAAAAATCACTGGAATACAGACAGCTTCGCCAATGGCTACCTGTGAGTCACCGCTGTACCAGACAGCGCGTCACAGCTTTGTGGCATGTTGAAACACCGCCTTGAAATTTTTGGAATACCACCCGTGTTGAAAGAAACAAGACGATGAGAGCGTCGATCGAGGGTCCTCCACGCAAAACAAAATGCCAAGTAGCCAGTTGAAATTTATTAAAGAATTGCTAGTACACAAGCGACTCAAACCGGTGCACATAGGGGCGAGCCATCACTTTGTGCTTATTGCTGGTGTTTCATGAATAGGACTGCTGCGTTTGTGGTTGTACTAACTTCGCCCAAGTCAATTTCATCAAAAAGTAGGCAGGGTGGGGACGTAGGAATGGGTCACAGAGCGGGTGGGAAATCATAAATACACGTAGTGGAAGTAGGTGGTGGAAAATTTACACGCACAAACACACGAACACGACTGCGGTGACGGACGAATCTATGATTGGGACAGCGCACTCGCAATTTTACAATTGTACTCAGAGACAAACACGCTCAGGGAGGCTGAGGAGCGAGTAGCGACAGAAGGGTGAAGGGGTAAATGCATTTTGGGACAGGGGAAGAGAAAGGGAGACAGGGGAGCAGTGGAATGCAGCGGGCTACGAGGACGACGAGGCGGAGGGCGGCGCAGGAGCGGCGGAAGCCGAGGTGACAGAGGGGTTAGAGAGCGCGCCCTCGTTCGCCTTCGCCTCCTGCTTAGCGACCGGCAGCTGCGAAACCACTGGTCCATTGGGGATCACAGAGGTGCCTAGCTTAGTGCCTGTACTCGGAGCCATCGCAACGGGCCGCGGTATTCGTCCAGCAACTGCTGCCGCTGCGAAATGTGGTGAACTACCGCTGAGGTTGCTGCTGTTAAAGAGGTGCTGTTGTTGATTGTGGTGGTGGTATAGTTGGTGTTGAGGTGCCGCCACAGGCTGGACGCTAGCGTTAAGCGTGGACGAGGTGAGCCGATAGGTCGTGGGCGTCTCATCGAGGTCAGCGTAGCAGATGCTCATGTGCTGAGTCAACTTCTCGGCCGACACCGGATCCCAATAGTAGTAGGCACCTTGTTCAGAATTCGCGTCACGAATTATATCACTACCCACGATGCGAGTAATCCAGCGTTGCTTCTTTTTGTGGAACCGCCACTCGCGGTTATACCTATAGGGAGGCCAAATGCTACATTATGAACCATCGAGGCAAAATCGGACCAAGAAAACGGGCCGCAGTGTTACTCAAATAGGAACCTGAGCCCAAAAAGATGCGCAACCATTCAATTTGCTATTTCCACCAGATGCAGTTACAATCTCCAAAATAAAAATTCAAATGACAAATTTCCAATGATACGTGACACAGGATGGCATTCTGCAAGCAACGGGCTCCACTACTTCATGTGCAGCAACAATCGCAAGATCGGACCGATCCAAGTGCAAGCAACCTAAACTGTGCTCCCATCAACTAGTAAGAATCCCATTCGAGGGATTTTCGGTCCAGGTCAGCCGATTAGGGTATAAAATGGGTCTACCTACGAAAAATACCTTCAAAAGACTACAAAGGCCATTCACTTGTACATAAAGAGGAATATTCTTCCGTGGTGCATAAACACTAACCTCAGTCCAAAAAAAATTTAACGACAAACACTAGTAAACGTGATTCCAGTCTAAAAAGAACAATCACTTCGCGTCTTCTCCATGCAAGTGAGCTACCATCACCCCATGTCAGGTAAAGTGTTTTCGTAACTTGTCTAAGTGAATCACGTGACTCACGAAACTAAAGCGCTAGGTCAAATGAAGTCAAGCTTCCTTAACTTGATAGCAAGTCTCTCAGTTATCGGTCGGTGGACCGGAAGTTTGGAGGTTTGGTGGCATACTAATCAGAATTAATTCACTGCTATTGGCAACCCAAACAGGGCACTACGATCCAATCAGAGAAGCGTATTTCGACAGCCGATTAAGAACCCGATCACAGTGGCAAGACTCAACACACAGAGATGGAATGACAAGCTCTGGCGGCCCAGTGCAGACATCCGAGCGTGATACTCAAGAGTGTATCCGTACAAAAAAACGAAAAATTTCGAAAGACTGCTTTTAAAGCTGCTGTATGACTGGAAATTTTTTTGTTTTCCTGGTATTATCAAGAATAATTCTGGAATGAAATTGACCGGAGAAAATCTTGTACACCTAAAGCAAATTCTGCTTGTGCAACTCCAAAATTACTTCATTTCCTGAACCTCTGCCTCGAAAGCAACCCCCAGCATAATATTCAAGGCGCAAAAAAGATGTGCAGAAACAGAATGAATCAGTAGGCACTGTAATAAAAAAAAGGTGACAGCGAAATTCGTAAACAATCACTGACTAGGAATGATGTTAAAAGCGCATCTTATTTACTAAAATAAAGGCATTGATGAAAACTACATACCTACTTGATCGAGTCATGTGAAAACCGGAGAAGACAAAAAGAAAACAAGTGGAAACTTACAACTCCTTGGCAGCAACCAACTGGACTTCTTCCCGACAGCAGTTGTAAAAAAGCCAGAAAAGGATCTCGTCGGAGAGCAGTTCGAGCTGAGGATCGTGGGGGAGGCGATTGGCTATTTGATGCCGGATCTGGTACTCCGGGGGTACGTTGAAATCCATGTCCTGCGGCCGTAGCATGCAAGAATCTGACACGGGGGAGGCAAATCTCGTGTAGAGTTCCCTAAAGAACAGGAAGTGAGGCCTCATAAAGCACCTTCTATCAACCAAAATCTTCCCAACCACAGTGGACAAAAAACAAACAAATATCGCTGCGACTTCACAATCATATTCCAGAATAATAAAAAAATTTAATTTAGGCCGTGTCGAAAACACTCTGTAATGATATAAAATCAGGTCAGTCATGGAGCTCTCATGCAAATAAACTTCACAAGGCTCTACAATTCAAATCGTCGATAAGGTGAAATTTCGGTAGTATCAAGCAGGTACAAAGCAAAATGTTGATTCGGATAAATTTGAGCGTAAAAATCAATCGGCGACACACATGTATTCCGCTCAATTCTCAAAATGCCATAGCTCCCGACTGGTTCGACCATGCAGTTCACCAGTACACATCACCTGCACATGGCAGACTACGTTGAATCGGAGGCGTTTAAAATGCAAAAACCCCACAAAAGCATCGGAAAACCATAAAAAACGCCTTCTAGTGTAAAACAGTTCGAATGGCGTCAAAACCTCGTTCTAATGTTACCATACAACAGCTGCGGCATCATCTTGATTTCTTTTGATATTACACAAGTGTGTGAGCAAGGTGGATGCGCGTCTTTATGTACCAAGCTCAGATCACTACTGCATTTATAGCTTCGAAATACAAAGTTAGTGTCTCCGAATCAGCACAAAAAACTGATTACATCGAAACAGCGAGTTATTCAAACGTAACTTGAAACAAAGACACTCCTTCCGATGGTTTGGCCGTGCTACAGCACAAATGAATAGAGATGTTTAAAGAGCCCTTACCTACACAAAATGCATGTGCCAATTAACACGACGCTTTTCTTTATCCCAGATAAACGGCATTTCAATCGCATTGATTCCTTAACCAATCCTTGGACTTATCAGTGAAACGATTGGTCAAATTTATTAATTAAACAATTTTACAACTATAAATAAAAATGGCTTGTAAAATCCAGTGAAACCCTTAGGTATGAATTCTTGTCATCGCATCAACACTACGTGAGAGAGATACCCATAAAAGCCGACAACTTCCGCGTAAATTCAGTGCGATATGATGAGCAAAACAGCATAAAACGCCGGTACTTCTCTAGTGTGCCCTGGAAAACTGCGCCAGAGGGGGAAACGTCTTCGAAAAACGGCTAGCTAAGGCAAATATTTTTGGTTCTGTGGGTGACTAACAGAAACGAAGGCAAGTTTTTGATCTCTTCATGCCTTCCCACACTGCATGTTTACGTTCGGGTGCATGTTCTGCAAAATCGGTGAAAAGTGGGGAATACGGAAGGCCTAGTTATTGTTAAAGTACGCGGTAGAGAATGACACCAGTCTACACCTGGATAACCAATAACTGAAATGAACAAATCGGATGTCGAAAATGCCCCTAGGAGTTGGCACGAGCCCAGTAAACTCGCATGGACCAGGGCAAGGTCTGGACACGCACAAGACTATCAAGATGGATGGGTACTGATTTTTTCGATTGAACATGGCGACTTCCGCAAAACCATAGTTAAACAAACGGAAGACCCCTGCCACGCGTAAAAAACATGAGAGCGATGAATATCGTCAGAGTGCATTCAAGATTTGGTGTTAGAATGCATCAGATCTGAACGATGATCGGTAGCTCCCAGCCAGGCGATTGCAGAACGCCACTTACAGTCGTACCACAAAAAACGATTGGTGGCGAGTCTTTTTGGTTAAAGAGGCTATCGAACACCAAACAGGTAAAGCCTAACTTAATTTCACTTCGTTTAAGCGGATGAAGGGCTTGAAGTTGTGACGAGAAAATGCGAAAGAAATTCGTGAATTGGTAAAAAAGGGATGTTTCCAGCAAAACGTAAACGGTTACGTGAAAGAGTCTAGTTCTGAGTGCTTTGATTCGTGCTGGGAATCAACCAAGGCAAAAATAACTAACGTGGAGCAGAACCTGCATAATTTGCCAGGCCTATGCTAAAACGAAGTGTGACGACCTCCGAAGAAACCTTGTACTACACAATCTTAATCCACCATCCAATATTTAGGAGTAGCTAAAGGTATGCGTGCAAATTAAAACCTGACTTGGTACGGTGGGAGATATTTACGAATTAGCATGACTTTAACCTTAAAAATGTACCAAAAATCGCTGACTGGGCATTCACGAATTCAAGGGAACTCACTACAACTGTCTAGCACGAAACTTCGCATCTTCGTAAAAAAACATTGACATAACAATCGCTACGTGGGATATCCAACATGACGAATTTGAAGGACCTCTTAATAATGGTAAAGTTAATTAGTTAGTCATGAAAAACACGCAGTGTAAAACAATTCGCATTCACTCAGGCTGAAACAAGATGGTGAGGAACCAGGAAAAAAAGTAAACTTATCGTCTCCAGAGGGTAGGCTTATTTTGGACTTAAGTGAATTGCAAAAGTGCCAGAACTCAAGCTGTTTACCAATTTCGCGTTTAGTTTAATGCATTTCGGGATGACCTACGTATTTAAGTAAACATCAACAATATAAGGCATCAGTATGTTTTTTTACCTGCGATGGAAATCAAACAATATAACAAGTAACATTACACACCCAAATAATTGCACACGCGCATAAACATCTTGGAAAATTTTGATGACCAATAGAAGGGGTCGCATTAAAAACAAAAGGATGCATGTAGAAATAGATTTTGCGTACCGAATATATGCAATTTGTTAAAAAAAAAGTGGGAGAATTCGATACTACACAAGAGCTAGAAACGAAGTACGTAAGATGACCGCCGCTACCAAATGGCAGTCAGATTTAACCTTATCAAGACCACCAACCGACGTTGAAGTAGTTTGAGAGGCATTGTGAAATATGCACCCACAAGAAAACGAATAGACGTGGCTTCAGCGTGAAGTCAATAGACTGACGCTCATTCACATATTGCATTTTGGCATTTTGTGTGCACACGGTTTTTATTTCTTAAACATCTAAAGTTACATTCATGCTAAACTTTCATACAGACAAATTCGCGTTAGGTGAACAAAACAGCTTCAACCGACCTTGTGTTTTATCCTGTCCGATAAGATAAAAAAAATTATCGAGACCATTGTGTCTAAAAGGCCTTCATCTGAGCGGAGGATACCCGACTTTGCGTTTATAACGCCGCTACGAATGTTGGCGTGGTAAAGAGAAAGTGTCCAAGAGGACAAGCCATAGCCATTGGGACGACACGAAAAGTCTAAGCGTCACTGATTATGTTTATTAATAAACCGTTAAACATAAGTTGATAAAACTGAATGGCACGACCCAACACTACCAATTGAAATAAGTGACGAGGAACGCGCAACACGCTGTGCAAAAACTTTGAATTGAGTTAGAGTGCCAAGAGTTATACTGACAACAATAGGTTGCTATGAATATAATTAAAGGCCAACAAAGTCGAAACGAAAAGGCGATTTAACAACTAGAGCGAATTCAGTGGTGGACATAAACACGGAAAATATAACAAGATTATTAACTGAGATAATCAAATGAACTCCTGCGCACATCTATTATTAATGCATTAAGCAGGACTGTGACAAATGGTAAGAGTCAAACTGGATAAGTTAAACTCCCAGGTAAGTTACACTGAAAACAAAATGCGAGAATCTGAGACAAACACAGAAATTTAGACATTCAGTGGTTAGGAAGGCTAAAACGTTAGACTTAGCATGTACGATTTCTAAGCAAATATCCTGCGGTAAAAAGTATCAGATATAAGTAGCAGAATTACCCAGGCGGGAGCCAATGTGAGATGCCCATCGACGCCAAGTTTAATCCAGGCGCTAATGGTTCGAATGTTGGATCGATTTGAATCAGTTTAAGTAGGCCAATCATGCCATATTGATCAAATATCATATCCCTTGGTATGTTTGCAACATAGTGATCATTTAGTAATTCCAAAGAACCACCGGAAGCCGGTTCTGTGTGGGACGAACCACCGCTTTGAGAACGCTGAGCACGTGATGCTGCCTGACTCTTAAGAGCTTCACCCGACGAAACGGTTAGAGAATGGGTCGACTGATTTGACGAGTGGGTGACTACTGAAGGCAACGGAGCTGAGTTAACTGTCGTTGTCGAAATGGACGACGTCTGAGCAACCGGTAGTGCAGGAAAGTCTTGATCGATAGAAAATTCAGGGGATGCTTGAACTGCAGATCCGGAGAATGAATTCTGACTCGGCAGAGCCCCACTAAGGGAAGAGGGCACTCCACTTCCACCGCCCTTTGCGATGGCCGAGACGTAATTCCGATGTTGCGGATTTCCCGGAAAGCCCTGATTTTGAGATTGGTTTATGGAATTTACAATGGGAGGAAAATCAGAAGGGTCGAATGTAAGTCCAGAGGAAGAAACACCCGGATTCATCAAACCGGATGACGATGTATTTCCAGAGTTGCCCATTAAACCAATGCTTGTGAGGGATTTATTAGGAACGTTTCCCATACCAATTAGTGACGCCTTTGAACTATTGACAAGACCAGACATGAGCGTAGAGAGATCAGGGTTAACTGGGTGATTAAAATTTCCAAGACCAGATAACAAAGATGGTTCAGAAAGACCTCGTTGGGGTGGACCAGAAAAGGTAGAATTGCTTCCATATGGGAGAAAGCCTACGGCAACGCTATCCAAAGCCGAATCTGGTGCGTAGTTACTCCGAAAACTCCCACCTGTGGATGTTAGCCCTTTAATCCGAGTCGAAGATGATGGGCGAGGGGTGTAGTTTAGTCCGATACCAGGGCCCAGGCCACTCAAAGATGAAGCCCCACTTGCGTTATTAAGAAGAGGCTAATAAAAGAACAGTGATATGTTAATAGTTTATGAGCTTATACATAAAAAATAGGCTGGAGCAATGTGGAACGAGAAAGAAAGCTACGATAACCTGACACTACCCAACTACTTGATGCATTGTAGCATAATGGAACACAATATAATTTGAGGAGAAAAGCACAACAGCAGGCTCACCCGCTTATCAGCACTTGCTTGGAAAGTAGAAAGGTTTTTTTGTGTATCGTTGTGCATCGTTCTGCCCATTCCTAATCTAAAATACATGGGTTAAAGAGACAATGATAATTACTGGGCTGCGCTATTCCAAGACGCTGGATGATCAAAGGTATTACGACTAAAAATAGTTTATTCGCATGATAAGACATACTGTCCAATGCCAGCCATACGACGTACGCATCGGGTTGAGAATCTTCCTTATCTGGCGCAGGTAAGATCTTCAAAATCAATTAATTTATTATCCCAGAGAATTCCTGCAAGTAAACAAAATAAAATAGGCTACACAATACGGCGATAGAACCATAGAATAAAACACCAAATCTTCGACAACAATGCAACAAGAGATAGGAACCACCACCCGTACCGATAGAGACCCTAAATGCCCTCTTTGTTTTAACAGTTGATAAGTTAAAACTAACGGCACTTGAAGCCATTGCTTTGTCTCCACTTAAATAAACGTTTATATTTTATGGGTCAAAAATGACTACAATTATTTTTGTCTAAAAACGTCATATATATAATCAGTAATTAAGAGAAATAATTAAACTACGTTTTGATTTTATGGGGAAAGCGTGCTGTTCAAAGGCCGTTTTCTGTTTACTTAAAAGAAGACACAAACACACAGAATTAAACTCAACTCCTTTAAAAAAAATTGGTCTTTTTATACTGTATTGAGTCTGTAAACATAGTTTGCTAATAAGTCCCGGTAAAAGTGGTAATTGCTGTGGAGGATGTATCTCTTTTCAGCTTAGCGAAATTAATTCGCATAAATATCCGTGTGCTTTGCGTGTTAGGTCATCCTACGCTTTACTTATTAACGGTATGCATAATAGTGAGATGAAGCAACACATTTTAGTCAGCTTCTTCTACGCCTTCCCAATCAACCAGTAACTGTACCTCGATATCAATGACGGCCCCTGACATTAAGTCCATTTTGCTTAGACCGGTGATTGTAAGGCATTTTCACCAACCTTTATAGTCAGCAACATCCATCGCAAGTAGTTTATCACCTTTCAAAAGTTTTCTGTGTATCTTACAGCGCCATATGAATTTCCTCTTTGTCGACTGTCAAAATGCAAATGAATAATTATTTAATGTTTTCAGTACAATCAGTACATGGAAGTGGGTAAGGCTCATGGAATTGGCGGTGGATGTGCCTCCGCCAAAGAAGTGACGTAGACATTTAGAAATAATAAACAAGCCGTTCGTCTGCCTTGCCTCATTTTGTCAATGCTCTAAAAGAAATCCCTTTTTATATACAAACTTAGAACAAGCCGTAAAGTATTGTAATTTTGAATTAAATTAAACTTTAATGGTTTTTACGCAAATCAATGATAAAATTCTGATAAAATACTGGCCTTTGTAGTAAAGCCGATACCTGTTTGCCTGCTTGTTATGCTTACGATGTTCAGTGAGTTAAAAACTATCACTGAAAGTGCCTTCTAGTTCCTTATTGGCCTGCAGTAGTTTGCAGCATACGTGAAAACCGAGTACAAAAGATTTGGAGGCTGATTGGTGTTGATGAGTGTACTATAGCTTTTATTTGCTTTTATAGCAAGAATTATCAGAGGGACAAGTAGTTTTAACCTAATGTGGCAAAATATAACGAACCATTAAATGAAAAGTAAAATGAATCGACACAACCAAGTTGCATTCGTCGCGTTCGTGTATGGTTATGTATAGCCCTGAGGCTCAAACAAATGATTTCCATGTCTGCTAACAAGGAATCTCTGATAGGCTTACTTATACGTGCAAAAAGTCTGATAAAATGATAATATTTCTTTGGAGTGGACACAGAGTTAGGATTTAGCAACTCTGTAGGGGATATACTGGATTAGTAATAGTAAAAAAGGTTACTGAATGAACAGCGATAGTTTTCATAAATCCACAGTACTCACAAAAATTTAATTTGAGACAACCAAAGTGTACGAATAAGCGTTCAAGAGCAGTGAGAGGGTTTTAACTAAAAACGTCATTTGCACTACAGCCGTAGTTAAAGCATGAGTTGAAACAAAATTTACTAGTATAACAGTTATCACTAGTACCGATTAAAATCCATTAAAAAAATTGCAGGCTTAGAACACAAAACCATAAAACAAGTTTTGGCAGCATTATTGATTTTATTCGACATCTGAAATGCGCAAAGATCAGTAGATTTTGAAAGAATTTTGCAAGGTTTTTAATTTCTTTCGACTGCTCTGACAAAAATCCATGTAATTTATTATGCAAGCTACTATAATCCCAGGAAAGTATCTTTAAACACTGAAGCAACTAGGTTTAGCAACACAGGTATTCGACCTGATTAAAAGAAGATCAGGTATAATAATTGTTGTACAATCACGGGAAAATTTTGTTCCCAGGAATTTAAGTCAATTAAGAAAGTAAATTGCAAAAATACATCCTTTGACAAATTTATTGAATTTCTTAATTTCCAAATAAGTCGTTTTCTTGAATTGGGCATTTGTTCGAAAAATAAAATTATTTTAGAGAAGATAGTTGAGTAAGGAAAATATTTGACAGACCATAGAGACATAACCGATTGCGTTTGGAATACATTTCGTTTTCGAGATTGATGTAAAAGTTAAGAATTTACAAATTCGAACATTTAATTTCTTCTATGGATAATCGGAATGCAAAAACGATTATAGGCAGTTTTACAGTTTCATAATTATTTATATCATTACGTAAATCAGCAATATTATAGCATGATTGTCGTTATTCTAATGTCAATTCCTAGCGTACCTTCTTGTACTTACCTGAAATTTGTGGCGCACACTGTGCAATTTTTGGGTCGAGTACCGTTCCTTGTTTGGAAGTCTTCTATAATGAAGTCTAACACAATTTCTTCTTTTGGTACATTTGAGTCTTAACATAACCGTCTGTCCAGATCAAGAATTAATTCATTCTGCTGTGGTCGATGCTTCCAATATTAATGTATTGGCCAAAGATCTCAGCAGTATATGTCTCAAGGGCGACTCTGAAGTATGTATACCTGCACGAAAATCTGATTGACAGGTTCAATGGCTGTTAAGGACCGTTGGATTTATTGATCTGACAACCCTAGCTGGTGACGATACTTCGGCCAACGTTCATAGGCTTTGTGCAAAAGCCAAACGCCCTCTTAGCACTCCCATTTTGGAGCAATTATCCAAACGGTATGGTGTAATGCCAGAGGAAGTCAGTAAGTTAGCTAGTTAAGTCTAGTTTCTTCTAGGGACAGCCGCTGTTTGTGTGTATCCTTACCAAGTAAAGACTGCTTCTGATTACTTAAAGCGAATTGGAATGCCCGAAATGCCCATCGCAGCTGTCGCTACTGGTTTTCCGTCTGGTCAATATTCTCTTAAATCAAGACTCGAGGAAATAACGTACGCTATTGACAGTGGAGCCTCCGAAATTGACATTGTTATTAACCGAACGCTTGCCCTCGAAGGAAAATGGAAAGGTTGGGTTATTTCCCTATTGTATATCTATCGATTTCTTACTAAAATTGCTCATTTTGTACGTAACAATAGACATGTATGATGAAGTGTGCGCTATGCGCCAGGCGTGTGGCAGTCGTGCACATCTGAAAACGATTCTCGCTGTTGGTGAATTGGGTTCTTATGAAAATGTTTATGCGGCTTCTATGACGTGTATGCTTGCTGGTGCTGACTTTATCAAGACATCAACTGGCAAAGAGACTACTGTTAATGCAACTCTTCCTGTCAGCGTTGTGATGTGTCGGGCGATTGCTGACTTCCAGGACGTATACGGAATCAAGGTGAGTATCGTCAGCGGAAAAAGACACTACCACCACAAAAGCATAACGCTATGAAATGTTGTCACAAAATTGTCGCAGATGGTTAGCAATTGAATTCCATTACTGGCCCTTCTCTTATTAAACCTTATTTAGCCAATTGTGTATAGAAATACCCATAAACCTCTACCTACCTAATATGTTTTTACTATAATGTCATTTTACGCATCATCATTAACCCTGATAGCGCGTTCAAGAATCAGGACTTGCACGTGTTAAGCAATCTAAAAACACGCCGATCTTCACTTCTTCCTTTTGGTGTGACGCATTGTCGTAGTGAGTGCCAAGGGTGACGGTTGCCAAAGGTACCTAGACATAATTGACGCAATTTGGTTTGACGTCACTTCAGTGCACTTTTGGTTTGTTTTCAAGTGCACAGTTGCCCGCCTCCTCGTTTTGCATTCTGAATGTCTACTTAGTTAGGTGATTTTAGTTGACAGCTTGGCCCGCCTGTTTCGATGGTCCACTTTTTTAATCCGATTGATGTTGCAGCTTATAAAGTTTACAATGTAACGAAAGAAGATTTTAAACATCACCTGACCGCCATCTTATACTTCTTATTCTCTTAGAACCTGGAGTCATAGAATTTCGTAGAAAGATAAAAGCTTTTTTGCCAACGTAAATCACCAATTTTCAAGTATTTTAAACCCAAATACAGACAGCTCTTCTACCTTTCAAGCATTCAACCGATTTTTTATTGACTCATGTGGTAGGAATTTATCTCTTCCAGTGGCCGACCGTTTTGGCATAATTGTTCTTCATTTTTGGTAGGTTGGTTATAAGCCAGCTGGTGGTTTGAAGACCTGGAAAGACGCTCTTGAGTTCACGGCCTTGGTGAACAGCCTGTTGGGTCCTGATTGGGTGAACCGCGAATACTTCCGAATCGGAGCGAGTTCTTTGCTGGGTGGGATCGAGGCCCGCTTGTACAGTCTCCTGCACAGCGGACAGACACCGTCTCCTGGCGAGCTTGCTTTAATGTAAAAGTGTCTGCCACCACCTCCTAGCTGACCTGCGTGTGTGCAATGTACTTTCTGAGCCAATCTGTCTAGTCTATATTTAGCTTTCTTTCAAAAAATTCTTTCTAAAAGAGGTTGGTTGTTCTACATGGCGTGCCCACTGCAGTGATGACTTTGTGGAAGTTAGCTGCTTTTTACGTTTCCCACCAAACACACGCACCAGGGCCATTTGGCCTGCTTAGAGGATGCGGAATTGTTTCGGACAGCGTGGCCATTTAACGAGGCCGCATTGCATTACGAACCACTCATTGAGAACACTACTTCAGGACATTAGACTTGCGCATAATTTGTCGTTCTTTTCAATAGCTTGCGAAACTCCGCTAGCCCTAATCACGGCCAACCGTGTGAAGAGTCCCCGTGCGTGCCTTTCGATTCACTGTGAGACACGACTTGAGCTTCCTTCCAAGGTCAATGCTGTTGTTAACCAATCAGAAGTTCCGATCTTTCAACTCGTGTTATTGCTTCTGGCTTTGTACAATTTGTCGGCGGCTCATTGGGGGTGTGGGGGGGTTGAGTGAACGGGGAAACGACGGGGTAGGGGGGAAGGCGAGTTCAGGTATAAAACAGTCATTCGGGTGGCTGAGTGAAGGACAAGAATAACTGCAAGTCGTTTTTGTAGGGGCATTAGCCCGTTGCCGGGCAGGGTGGGTGTGTGTGGTGAGTTTTAAGTAGACGGGGTTACAGCGGAAATGCGCGTTGCCCCCGCGCTTGTGTGTACGTGCATGTGGATGACATCAGTGGACAACCCTTAGCTTCTCGCCTTTATTCTCTCTACATAAGACAGGACGATGCGAGACTAAACAATCCTATATTGACGAGTTTGGAGGGAGAGGGGTGCATATTACCATCAGGTTGGCTTTTCAACGCTGGTCTGTGGGTCCTCCTTTGGCTGCTGCTGGTGATGGTGGTGGTGATCGTCTGAGTGGCTGAGATTAAAGTACCAATTGCGGTTGTATTCCAGCATCTCAAGAATGCCCTGGGCTGCAGGATGGACCAAGTCTGACCACGTTTCCCACAGGGGGTGGGAAATAAAATCGATGAAGCTGACCTGCAGTGCAAAACGGACGGACGTTACACTGGCCAGGAGTGCCGAACCAATGCGAAAAGTTCCAACCCCGTGAAAACACGCTGGCTTGGGTTGCTACCAAGATCCGGTCAGACAAATGGAATACTAGATGTACCACAAAACCATTGTCGACAACCCAAACTAGAAAAGAAATAATATTTCACCAACGAAGCAATACGTCTTGTTCATAATGCGGTTGGCTGATACAGCGTTCAGAAGCTGTCATTTTCTTTCAGCAACAACGGATTAATGGAAAGGTGTTAAGCATCTGCATCATCGTTGAAAATCAATAGGATACAGCAAATCTATACTCAAACGTTTCTATCAACGCACACACACGTCGATGGTGGAGTGAAGTGTGTGAAAGAAGCCAGTAAATCATCTGCAACTGACAGCCCTTAAGGCGGTATGTGTGATTACGTCATTTTGGAATTGTTGGAGAGATAAGCCCTTCAATACTTCACAGTTTTCACAGAATTTGCAGATTTACTTTGGCCCCCAATATGCCGTGCACACCACCTCATATCTACCGCGCATCATTCCTGCTATTTAATTGGCAGCCAAAGTCACCAAGTGTACACTGAACGTGGACTCCTGCCCTTCTACCTGAAAGATTATAAAATCCCATCAGCCTACGTTTTGCAATAAAGGCGGCGGGCCCTGGTTGACAGTGAAGCATCAAAGTTACGAGGCCTTGCCTAGCTGCATATAACACGAATTTACACACACACACCAGCACGTCTGGCGAAGCGGCTTTACCTGGGAATTTTCGACGGTGGCGGTCTCACGATCGCACATCGGGCTGATGTCCAAGCCGGCGGCTCGCTCTCTGTCACCTTGGAGGAAAAACTCGTCCATTAAGCGGTGCGTCCACTTGGTGTAGAGCTCCAGTGGCTTAGCCGTGTTGGACAGGTCTGCACAATGCACCATATTCTGCAATATCTAACGAAAAAACAAGATATTACTTATTGTCCGCAGGTGTTTGTGCGCGTGGGTATGTTTACCGAAACGCGAAAAAAAGCAGTTCTGTAAAATTGACTAGCAAATTAAGTACCTGGGCGTGATTTTAACGAATCCTAGAGACACAACAGGCGTCTTCCTTGTTTACACCTACATCCAAAAGGCTTAAACGGGTAGACATACACTTGACAGCGTAAACACCACAATTGAATGCCGCTGTGCAAAACACACAAATCACTTGCAAGTTCTTGCTAAGTTTTGCCCGATGCACTTACCTGCATCCGATCAGTGTAATTGTCAAGATTTAGAATTCCTGATCCCGCCACCTTCTTAGTCTCAACCATGGTCTTCAGATCGGCAAGGAGGGACATGTGTTTAGACATGTCGGTGGAGAGAACCTAACCCAAAACAGTACTGTTTTACTCATAAATGTTTAAGTAGACATCAATTTACAAATTCGAAACAATTGAGTTTTTGATCTTTATGCTGATTTAATCTTCTTTTCTTTCCAATCTTATCAAAAAAGCATTACTCGTCTCGTTTGCAGACAGCTACAACCAAATTTACTGTCATCTACCATAGTTATAATTGGCAACCAATAGGGTTAATTGATGAAAAACGGACCAATCAAAACCGAAGAAAACGGACACTGACTCACCATGTCGATAACCATTCGTCGAAAAGCAAGTCTTTGCTTGCGCGTGAGGTTTACGAGTATGTCGCAGCCGGGGAACGTGAGTAAATTGAAGGCCACCGCTAGATGGTAATTTTCGAGGACAGATGAGTCGTTGTAGAGAATCGCCAACGCGTCATCTGCAAGAACATGTAAGGCATCCTTTCACCAGACTGTGCCGTCGGAGATAACTGTCAATCAGCTCTCTTGTTTGTCAAATTACGCGTGTACAACGAATTCCACACAATGAATACCTATTCGAAATCTAACTTTCTGAATCCATAGCTGTGTGCACACTGCATTCAACAAGTGCAGTGTGTTCGTGTAAGAATCCTTCCACACAGCAGCACTGATCCCATTTCAATCCATGCAACATTCCTAACCTTGACTCTTGGAATACTTATAATACACAACCCTACCAAAACACTGGAACTGATCTTCCACTACATCCTGCGAACATAGTAGGCCGAAATTTCCATTCAGGAAAGAGAAATAAGGTGGGCGTTTGGATGAAAGAGGCCAAGTAAATGCAACAAGCTTACTTGTGTTGACTAAGTACTGATTGGTTACACCGGGATGGTTAACGTCGTGAACAGCGCAGGCAATTATCACTGCAGCCAACTCCAGGTCTGTAAACACAGACTAAAATGCAAACAGATAAGTCGAGTTTAAACAAACGCGAGACCTTATTATCGCGCCGTGAATCACTACAAGGGTTACGCGCCAATTCCCAGCACTTCCGGAAACACAGATGTCTATTCCGCCTTGCATTAGGCACAGCGAGTACTACGATAAATGGAATTCAGTCGTGCTAGTTTGAGTAACTTAGAGCTGCGGTGATAAAGTCACCTGACATCCCCTTGAATTCAGGGTTGGAAAGGAGTGACCTAGCGGTAGGGGGGTGGTGAGACCGCGAGTGCCCTTCGGAATTGCCCGAATGAAGCCAAGGCAACCACTACATTGTCGCTACGCCTACTGACTTGCACTGGGCACGCGCGAACGTCATCAGGGATTTTTATTGATCGCAAGCGTACACGCGCGCACGCGTTGAAATCACCGACCCTCGCACGTGATTGGTTTAAAGCAAAAACCAATGAAAAAATCCGGTTGCGCAAGCGCTCGCCTGTGGCTGCGCGAAGACCGTCGGTTAGCCAGCGTGCTGGACTGAGCTACAAATAACACCGATTTAATCCCCTGGGTAATGGGTGGATTATCCTCGAACAGGCGGTTGCGCACACGCACTGACGCGCGCTTCGAGATTAAGCGTACAAACTGGTCCGAATTTTGCAATTTCGGAATAAACACTCCCGTTCAGTGGCCAAGGTCAACTGAGGCGATGGCGGTGGGTGGCTATTCGAAGATGGGTCCCAAAATGTCGTGGATGCCTCTTAGCTCATCCAATCGAACTGGTGGCTAATCGGTGTTCATTTGTTTCACAAGATCGGTTGCCAAACTATTAAGTCAGAATGTGACCAGCAAGGTTTCTACGGAGTAAGTAAGTCGATTACCGATCCCCAGGAAGTATCAGATTCCACAGACGGGATGGAATAGCCACTTACGTCAAGCGCAGGTGCTTGAAGAAGAACGTGGACAGACTGGACAACGTCGGCCGCGTGGATTTTGTTGTGATAGGGTGTGTAGGTGTTGTAATGGGCTTCCACTGACCTCAAGTAACGCACGAGATTCCAGTGGGGGATTTTGAACTTGTTAATAAGTCCGCGTCGCTAAAATTCATAAAATGCAAATGAGCGATCTCTCCATCCATAATACCCCAAACAAGCCAGAAATCGGACATATTCTACTAACTTTAATATCAGTAGGTATTAGATTGCTAAAAATCCTGAATTCTTGCATTTCTGATGCTTCTGCCAGTTCTGGGGTAAAGAGGTATATCACGGCACCAGGAAAGTCAAACAAGAGATTGAGACTAATTGAAATTTAATTTTAGCGTATTCCACATCTGGTGCTGTTATATCTGCTACTTGACAGGCTTATTTATGATGATGAAGATGATGAATCAGTATGCACTACTTCCTACCAGTCAAGTCATTACGCGGTTTTGCGAAGGTCATTTCAAGGTCAAGTCAATTTTCCGAAAGGAAGAAGGCAAAAAAAGTCTGAACGCCTATTGGTCAAAATTTCTTTGCTGCTGATGCTGCAAGGCTTGTTCCAGCAGACTACAAAACGAGGGCTTACGTAGGTGGCTGATGGTAAAATGACGGAGTTTGGCAACGATCTATGATGCAGTTGTCCCCATGCAATAAAAGCAATGATTACATCAATGGAAATAATGTGTGTGCGAATACATAGAATCGTACATTCTGGCAACAAAACGTCATAAAACCAGCAAGCGATTTGGAATACATTGTGTGGAAAGTCTGGCAGAAATGTAGTTGGCGGACCAGTGAAAGCCTTCGTCAGAACAATCCACCAGCCTACAACCTGGTACACAAGCACACACACTCCAGGCACTGACGCAAGCACTGTTTACTCGTTGGTAAAGTTAACCGCAGCCTGACGCGAAGACATGCCTACTGGCGCCATACACAGCCACTCAGGTTGGCCGGAAGGAAATCCGAAAATAGACTGACCCAGGTTGGTTGACAAATTAAGCGTAGCACTTTTAACAAGTCTGATGGGAATCTGATCTGGTCTATGGGGCATGAACTCAACTGCCACAAAATTTGGCAAATTCGCCAGAACAAAACAAACGCAAATAAGTGACTACACTGTGGGTTTTGAGGAGAGTCCATTCAGCTGTTAGAATTTGTGGGGCACTAACCCCACAAATAAGTAAAATTGCGTGTAAAAAAGCAACTAAGGAAGGCATGGGAAACATATGGCAGACAATGAGCAGGTTTAATTGGCGATTTAATGACGCTCTTAGCAAATTCACATGTGGTTTAGTATCTAGGGCCTCAATGCCATAGCTCTTGTACCAAACCAAGGTCAAAGACACGAATACGATCACACTCAAGTCGTTCCACGATATCCGCCGCTTATGTGCCGGTGCGTGATTTGTTTTTGCCTGGAGGTGTAAAATTGGGGCTGGAAGAGCTCTCGAGAAATGACGAGACAGATGGAAAGTTCGCCCCTGTCACCTGTCAGGGACCCGACTAGTCAACATGCACTGTTTTCAACGTGGAGGATGGTATTTATCCGAACAAGTTTGCGCCTTCGACAACTTATTTAACTTTCAACGAAGAAAACTGTACAATTATTTTTTCTTGAATTCAGCTTACGGGACAATCGAACACAGAAGAGCGTCTACTGGGGAAAAGTTTACCCAGTAACGAAGTTCGAGATTGACAGCACTACAGTGTGAGGGTTGCGCGTGGCGTGAAGTACAAACCAGCAGTAGAAATGTGATACAGCGCCGGCCAGCGTTGCGTTTCACTTAATTTAAACAGGATGTCTTCGTTCACGCAAAGCAGAGCAACGCGAGGATTTTGATGTGAATCGTGTTTATTCACACCCCTTGATCCGGTCGCTCCAGCCTCCGATACAGGGTTCCCCCTTTCTCAGCATGTCGCCAGCGGCGCGGATCCTTAACTCCTTCCTCATCACACTGATATTTACCTTGGATTATCCTCACACCTAGGTCTCGATGTTAGCGCATGTATGACTCACACACCAGAGGTCTAAATACACACGTAAACTTCACCCACGACACGACACCAACGTGGTTGACCTCTGAAGTAAACGCTTGTGTTCGTCCTCTCCGGCCTTTTCCTTCATCGCGGGTATCAGGCAAGCGTAATCGGGCCATAGTCAATTCCGTGGCCCCGGTGTGGTTCAAGACCGCATGCTGGGGCCTACAACAATATCGTTATTCTTGGTAGGTCTTAACTTTGCACGCAAGGCCATTCAAACAATGTTTGACGTCAGTTCAAAGCAATCGCCTAATTGTCCAGGTTTGGTTCGTTGAAAATTCTCAATGCGGCGTGTTTACCCTCATAACAGCAGAAAACCATCAGTTGGTGCAGAGTTTATAGGTACCTTGGAATGAGTAATTAATTAGACTAAATTTACAACACGGCGATGCACCAATCACAGCCTTTGTTTTAAACTGATTACTAGTAGGCGGGCATTTTGAAATAACCAACCACGAAGACCCCTATGCGTTAGTTCAACGTATGAAAAGTGCAAGACGTAAGTCGTTTTGTCATGTCACTGCCGATAGTGTTAAGTACTTGAACGTAATGCGATTTCCTCGTCAAAATCAAATTAAGGAATTTGAAATAGCCAAAAATCGACTTTTTTGGAGAAAAGAAGAGGGGGAGACTCACCTTGAGGATGGTGTAGGTGACGCAGGTTAGGGGGCTGATCGTCAATTCGGCGAGCTTGAAAATGTCCATTCCCCACTGATCGAGACCGCATTCGATTAGCTAAAATAAGAGTTATGCGTGTGGGTGATAAAGCTCAAGTTTGCTATGCTCATTTCAGGCTAAAAGGCAGCGTCCGTTTTGGTAGTAGACAACAATAGTCCCTTAGGACAGGAATCACAGTAATTTATCACAGCTACTTGGTGTAATCAACGCGTGGAGTCAGTTAGTTTGGCAAATGTGCTATTTCAAGGCTCATCAGTTAGTCGTGTTCGACAGACACTCGCTTGTTCTCCAGTATGGAGAGGCATCAATTACCACGTGACTGAAAACGTCCTTTGCACCGTACTTTCACCTTACACGTGCATGTTGGAACTTGCCAGATGGATAATAGCTAGACGCCTGTGTCAGCTTATTGTTTGGTGACCCACTGCGACCTTGGAGCGTGTGATATCATGCATTTAGCGTTTCGCCTCAGGTCTAACCTCGTGATTTATCCACTTTATCCCTGTGTTGTAAAAAGCAAACTTTTATCAAAGAATTAGGACAGGAAACAGGGGTAGTGACCAATCAGGTAGCAGAACACCACCAGCTCATGTCTGGGCGACCTTTTTGAACAACAATTGAACACCGCGGGAAGACATACAGAAATCAAGACGAGTCATTTGTTGGACGTCAAGTTAGAGTACTTCCTGTTTTAAATTTACATACGTGGCTTAAAAAGCTGATCTTTGAAATATAGGAGGCGGTGAGAAGTGGAACTTCGATTTACATTCTGTACACAAATTTATCAATTTGAGTCCGTTGTATGAATCACACATTATCAGGAGAGAATATGACAATGAACTGAAAAATCAGAGGATCGACATTATAGTGGGCTTTTACATTTTAAATTGTACTAGAGAATGGTCAAACTACTTACATCGAGTAAACACACACCCACTGCGCAAACGATGTTCAGTGTCGCAGTTTTTTAAGAAGTAGCCAATGATAATTTTTTTCCAGGGCAGTCCTCGTTGGATAAACAAATTACCTTTCAAAAATCCCATGTGACTGGCGTGCGAGAAATTCCATGCCTGGCTATTATACATAAGTCTATTTCGGAGTCATAAAAGAACTTCGGTTACAACCAGTCAAGTGCATTTAATTGGTTGGAGATTATCGCATCACACCGAAGATGAGTGAAGGCTCAATGTGGCCAGAAAACGGCCAAACCAAGGCGGGCATGACAAACATTAAAAAATAGTCGCCCAATTGCTGAAGTGAAGCTTATTGCGCTGTGACAAGGAGGTAGCAGACGAAGGCGATTAGTCGGTGTTTCCATTTAGGGAAGAAAATGAGACACAGAGAAAAAATCAGCAAGATAAACGAAGGCGCGACAGACGAGATAACTGTTGCGCAGTTCAGCTAAAAGCTGAAAAGTGCCTATTATTTAACTGGATGCAAAGTAAAATTGATGGATAAATAAGCCTAGTTTGTCTTGGCATTACAAAACAGACCTAATTAAATCCAGAACTGAAGCGGTGTGAGAATTAAACGAATGTATTCGGCACACAGTCAGGCAAGCACTATTGGTTGCGCAATGCGACACGCCCGAATTACCTCAGATGCTTCCTTTGGGTGCTCAGGAATGATGCCGTAGGGAGGAATTTCAGCGGAGTCGTCCAGACGATGCCCTGCACCGAGTTGGAATACCTTTGAGGGGTCGACGCCGATGCCAGTGACACTTCCATTGACGCCCAAGATGCTCGGTATTGAGGGGCAGGAGTGGTCGGAAAAGCGACCGGGAGATCGACTAGCTCCTAGCGATACTCCGCTGGGACGTTTCTAATTGGGCGAAGTAACAAGAAACCAATAATCATGCCGCATTCTTTGATCTGTACGAATTTGATTGGTCTCTGGAGGATGAGTAGAAATTTACAAGGTACCATTTTATTCAGTGATGAATCTGGTGCGTGGTCCAATGCCAAATTGCTATTTTAAGGACTATCTATAATTGGACTATTACTATCTATCTGAAATATTTTTAACATACATTTTCGGTTGCATTGATTGATAATTGTTTCCAGTCGTGACATTTAAGAATTGACATTTGAAATTGGAACACAACAAACACGGAGTCACGTAGGTGCAAATTGGTTGATTTCTTGAAGTGACCTTTCATTGTGAAGTCAACTTAATGGATTGAATTGATTGGATTTTGCTTTAATTACATACTTAATCACTGCTGTGAACATTGCTATGGTAACGCAAAAAAATCAAACTGGAGGTATGGTGGCAAGGAAACTCCTTACAACTTCACTGCATGTACCACAGAGCTTTCTGGTACTGGGTTTGTTTAATTGGTGCTTTTCTAACACTAAAATTAAGCTGAGGAAGCATACTAAAGAAATGTGAATATTCGGTTACAGTTGCAGCTGAATGAAGTGACAATTTGACTACGACCTTAAAAAGTACGCGAACTGGAATGCTCTTGGGGGAATTGGGCTTAGTCACATGCATCAGGAGGGCGTGGAGACACGTGAAAACAGACCCTGAAGTGTCACAAAACACACCGAAGATAGTAATAAGTTACAAACGAAGATGGCGTACACTCGCGGCAGAAGCTGCGGCGGCGGCTATCTCCTCGGCAGTGTTCCTGTCGACTCGGATTATCACAGATGAGCCTGGTTGGTTCTGGTTTTGCTGCTGCAGCTTGCGAAAGTCCGCTCCAGTGGCCGCCGTAATAGTGGTCTGCTCTGCAGCACTGGCGCCGTCACTGGCAACACCTGAGGCAGACGCCAGGGGGTCGACTTCGACAAAGATTCCGCTGCCAGCTGGCTGCTGGCTGTCCGCAGTCTGCTCGTCCTGATCCAAGAACGTGGAACAAATGTACTCCGAGATCTGCGAGTTAATCCTGTCACCGTCGTACACCTGACTCAGTTCCTTGTTTAGCATTTTCTTAAACTGAAAATAGAGAGAGAAGGCTATGAGGCGACTTCACATATCACGCCCTCGTCAGTGATGGAATCTCTCTTTTCATTGGCTGTGCAACCGTAGTACATTAGACTGTTTGGGCCAGCCAATCATCCATCGAGGCTGTGTTCAACAAATGGAAAATATTGAAGTAAACTTCCACACTCTCGCGATTTGCTGAAAACCGTTAGTTGAATTGATGAAAGCGTGCGAAATTTACAGATTACGTACGTAGCGCCAAGTCCATTATTTACAGACTGACTCAACTACCAACAAACGCGTTGCGCGTGTGATCGACGCAAGTGTTAATTCAAAATGCTCTTCTTTGCTGAAAAATTACAGCCCTACATTGAACGTGAACCAAGCTATAAAAATTGTTAAAATACCGGCCTTTATGGCATAGGATATGTCTTTGTACACAATCCTCATAAGCCTGTGGGAAGGAATAATTTGAAATGAAAATGTTTTGGAAAAAAAAGAGGTTAAAATTTGACATTAAGGTTCACTTTTATGGAAAGAAAAAAAGGCGATGCACCTTTTTCAGAGTGCACCAAAGAAGCTACGTAGATGTACTGTCGACAAAACCTACGCAAAGTGTGGGCTGCATTGACGACAGAAAGTAGCGTGTTGAAACAATGCAGCTTAAAGATCACACACAAATCTCATGCTATTGGTCTAATCCATTTCGGAGTTGTGCGGTGGCAGTATGATTGCCTAAAGCCTCGGATTTTGAAGCAAATGTATGAGATTTTACCTTATGACCTAGGCTTACCCACATCTTAAGCGTAATTGCCAGCGTGTGTTGTTCAACCACACACACACACACACACACCCACAAACAAGCAATTAACAACCAACACACGTCGAACCGGTGCTAACAGACATTTTCATTGGGTAGTTCTGACATCGTGCTGTCGAAAAGGCACTCGATTTGTGACATAAGGCTGTGCGCCAAATGAAGGCGCAGTTAGACGTTCATAAAATGAAATCCGCTGCCAAACAGTCGCATAAGCAGCAAAGATTCACCATCTGTCGATGTCCGAAGAGACAAGCAGAATCGCGCGAATTTTCTAGAACGAGTTGTCGGGTAGAGCGAATTCAGCACTTAACTCGATTGGCAAAAATCACTTCGGGGAGACTGCCGAACGTGTGGCCTTGAAAATCGATTTTTAACGTCAGAATATGGCCGCTTTGTTTAAACCTACACATTTGCACAAGTCCTTAACTAGGATACCAGGAATGAAATCAACTAACGCAAAATCAGACGCAGCAGATCCTCGGTATGGCGTGATTTCGTAATGAAACAAAATGTGTGTTTTGGTTCGTCTGCGCATAGATTTCCTAGATAAGGACTAGATATGGCACCTCCAACACAAAACACTTGGTCACGCATAAACAAAGTGGAAATTATTTTGGACAAGACACTACCGAACAAGAGAATTTCGGTTATTTTTGGTTAAATTATTAATCATGAAAGCAAAAAAAATGGTTGAGTGACTCACGCGAAGGCCTTGGAAAGGACGCTGTCCTCAAACCTTTACAACACCCTTTCAGTACAATTAAACATCCCCATGCAGGATCTTACAGCCAATGAGTTTGTAGAAAGGTATCTATTATTAATGCCCAATCACGTGCTCCAAGTAGTAGGCAGGTAAGGCAATCTGACTGCCAATGTCACAAGATGAACGGTGCAATCAATTATCGAAATCTGACACATTATATTACTCTGATGTTGGCCACACTGCAGAGGACAACACTTCATTGATAAGCAGAGTGCAAAATATCGACAGCTGGTGAGTGAAAATGTCTTGAACCAGGTTGACCTCCTCTGACGTTTGGATGTGCTTAGCACAGAACAATTGGCACGTGTTTGGAATCTACCAAACAATGAAAAATCGTCTGTTTGAAGTAAACGTGACTATCTCCAGGTAAGAAATTACTCTAGTAACTGGTGCAAACTGGTCATGATTGAGTATGTAAATGGTTATGCATATGTGTGTGTGTGTGTATTGGTACATGGGCATGTGTGTGTGTGAAGCGATAAACGCTGAAGAGTAAGAATGATACGTTTCGGCACGAGATAGCGGGTACTAGCAGTCCACAAATCGGTCATACCCTGGACACATTTCTGGGCTGTGATTGGCTGGCATGGAATCCGGATGCAAATGCAGTGCTGTAGGAAGAAGTAGCTAATGCCCTAGATTAAGACAAGGGTTTACACGCCAGGCTTAAACAAAGCACGCTAACCAATGGCTGGCATTTGCAATAATTTCGTCGGTTCACACAACTTTCAAAACAACGCCTGTACTCTCTTCTAGTGGTTTAATTGAAACTTGCAGTATTTCACTAATACACAAATTGGTTTTAAAACACCTTGCCTTGCTGGAAGCCATGTCACTGACAGACCGGTGGGTTTGAATGCTTTCCAGACGCTCCAGGCACCATTCCAACTCCTCCAAGGTTTCGACAGCCAAGCCATTTGATGCATCGCCTTCGACTGAATTTAAAAAAAAGCGTTGGAAACATTAGCGGTGTGTCTCTAGCATAAACGAAATAACAACGTTTGATGTTTAAAGAGAAAAAAAAATAATTGACAGAATTGCCAGGCTTAGACATTTTTGGGACTGTTTCTTATGAATATGCAAACAAACACGGGATTTTAACAAGGCAAACAATTCGCGACAGTTACGCTAATGTAGACAGATGGGACTGACAAGGCACCGATTCCGATTTTACCTTGGTACGTGGTGAATGGATAAATTTATGGAATAAAATCATACGCGCATTTTGCAAGGTCAAATAGAAGCGCGTAACATCAACACCTAAGATGGCGTGATTTTAGCTTAAAACCTCAAGATGAACTCCCTCATCCAAAAACGCCGATAGACACGGTTTTATTTTAATCTGGCATTATTTCTGAAAGCTCTTGGCAAAAACGCTTCTTGAACTCGCACACATGCACAAAATATACGTCATTTTTTGTAGATGTCTGCTTGATTAGGCTCAGTAAAACGTCGATTGGCCAATTTGTGTTACTAATAAACTGAGGTTTGGAACAAGATGAGCGTGAAAATTTCTCCGTCACTGTGTTTGTACCGGCACGTGGATCTGTGGTGCGGGGCGTTTGATAGTTGACGACGCACGTTAGCACCACTTGTCCAAGCACAATTGTTGCAAAGTGCAAGGTAGTGGCACAGTCTACAATGTGCGTCAAAAAGAATAATTTATTGGGGGCAATAATTACAGTAGAACCTAGTCAACGACGTCGATTTGTGACGGACTTTGAACTGTGCAACTGTTCACCACCGTAATGACGAATGACTGGATTGTCGTTATAGCGTGTACATTAACAACTTCGAAGGATTGACACAGCTCCAGGTGCTAAGTTTGTTTGGACAGTAATAAGGTGACGTTTTGTGTGTCAGACTGCATTACAAACCAAGTAATACAGGCATTCACGTCCTGTGGTGGAAATGGGCCACAGCGAAAAGTTGAGTCCAAATTCACACAATTTCCGCTTTAAAGATGCATCAAGCTATAAAAAAGGTAGCATGACAAGCATGAGGGTGGGAGGAGTTACCGTCGCCTGTCACTAATGCCTCCTGAAACGTTGGAGCTTGAAGAGAAGCAAAAACGCGAGGTCACACGCACAAAGGTGGCTTTTCGTGCTACCTTGTTTGTATGAAGGCGAGAAAATTTGTAGACAAAAAAACTCACTAGGACACGGAAGTCTCCGGGTTTCGTCAGTGAAAGAGGTGCCGAATCTGGAACTGAAAAGACAAAAGAGTCAGTGACAGTCACGCTTTAGTAAAGTGAGATCACGTGATATGGAGTTTTGCGCGGCTATCAATTGGCTCCACAATTCACGAATAATCCAAAAAACGGCAGCGATTTTCTTAAGAAATAGAGAAGCGGAATGAGGCAAACGTTCTTTGTGTACTTATAAGAGCAGAGAATTGTGGACGCCCATTTTACTGCATCACGTGTGGCATAAAGCGAGCAATACGAACCCACCCAAGCTGTCATTATTTTGGACGAGGAAAAGAACAACAATGAAAGAAAGAGGTTGCATCGAGGTTTTGCCGAATTGCGCGCATGAACACAAAGATAGGAACCGTTAGATTGTTGACGGAGTGACTGCGTTTATGCTGTTTTAGCAGATACCTGGACGTAACTAGGCAATTGCCTCCACTTTTCGCGTACATGAAACCACTAACAAAGCAGTTTGTGGAAATTTCATGCGGGAAAATTATAAACATTTTAACAACACAAGATACATTTGATTGGGGGTCATTCATTATGGATCGAATAGAAATTCACAAGGCCAGTTCTCATTGGATAAAATAAGATGCAGAAGGCGGACTGTAAAGTGGAATCGAAAATGGGGTGCGTTTTAACACAGTTACTCTCACATGACATGGCCTCTAGACAGCCTGAGGAAACTACGGCGCCATAGCAACCACTGGCATCACAGGCCTAGATTCAGGTATTCCATCACCTTAGGAAGAGAATCTCATGGTCATGGATAATAAGAAGACTGGTTCGTTAATTTTTTCATACACAACTATCGACAAAATTGATTTTGGTGTAACCGTTTTAGACAAACACAAATAACATTGGTTAAAAAAATCAGTTAAGAATCGGAATCTGTGCTGTTTGAAATAGCAACGAGGGTGCACAGGTTTCCACGATACCTGACGAGGCGAATTTGGGATGGCACTCATGAGGTTGGATGATTTCGTGTACCAATGACCTTCAGGTTGGTGTTTGGCTGATATGGCAATTAAGAGCCATTTTTTCTACTGACAACTTTGAAACGATTCTGAAATCCTGGGCATTAAAGGATTATATTCGCAAAGGAAAGAAAACATAGAAGAACAGCTCTACCAACGGTAAAACACCGTGCCGGAACCAGCAGAAAAGATAGTTGGGCGGAAATGAGTCAACAACAGAGGTTCACGTACGCACGTGTTGCTTAAACCGTTTGTGAGTACCTCCTTCCTGTACACGTGTGAACAGTGCATCTCAGCAAACACAAATCTGTGTGAAGCAACTATGCAAAGAGCTCTAATGTACGTAATGCAGGCCACCTTGGTGTCATGGCAGCCCGCGCGTGTTCGCTGACGGGGTGGAGTTCATTTCTGAGTCATTGCAGTGTCGTTTTGGGAATAACCACGGTGTAATCCATGCTGATCCTTGTTACCTGAGGCTCAACGTGGGAACTAGCTTTGGCAGCAGTTTGGCGGAAAACTCGAAAGGAGGACGATAGAAAGGGGTGATAGCACCATCAAAAGATATGAGAATTCTGCAAATATTCCGCGTGTTTTGAAGAAGAAACATTACCATTTGAAAATACTAATCAGACACTGAAAACCGCAAAATATATGAAAGCGTTTTCTGAATTGAAACTAATCAAAATCGATAAAGCTACCCAAAGGGCATCATTTCCCGGTCAATTTCTTGTCGCGCAGCTGAGTTTACACCCAAATATTGTAGTCAGATATCTAACACCTCTAACTTCATGGTTCAAGACGGTGCACCTTTTAGTTGGAGTGGTGAAGGGGTCTATGTGACGATGTCTTCCACTTCCGCACTGACAAACACCATCTGGTCCTGAACAAACGTTGAATTTCCACATTAAAAGTGCGTAAGTCATAAAAACACGTCGTGGAAATCTTGATGTCTTATTGGTATGTTTAAAGTAGTACACGATGAAATAGATATTTCCATTTTCGCAGCTATCCGTACAAATTACAAGTATGCCGACAAGATACACAGAAAGAATTTCAGACGATGTGAAGTTCACTTTTGAGAGACCAAATTAACTGGTATGATTATACATTGTGCAAAAAACCAAGTCAGTTTCTTGACATAATAATGCTTACAAAAATATCAAGTTATGTAACGCCACACCAAGTATTGAATTACTAAAAAAAACCCTTCATTAATGTGTCACATATAAGTGTACATATTTATAACACATGGGCGTGGACTTGTAAGGGATCTGTCCAGTGAACGCAGTCACGAGAAAATCAATAGACACAGGGAAAGGGTGGGTGGGTGTAGCCGAAGCGGGTGCCGACAGGCCTTCACTCGCCCTTCAATTTGGCACCTGTAGGAGCCTGCCTGAACCCGGTGGCCGAAAACGGCCAAAGCACACGGCTTACAACCGGTGATAGATGAATGAGAGACTTACGTCATGACAGAGCTGCTGCAACGTACACTCCCTTGAACCGCAATCCGAATGAACGAGTGTGAGTGTAAACACAGTGACCAAGTACATTACGAGTCCGGTGTAAAAAAAATCACACGCGTTCGAACACACACACACACGCCTGCGTGAATACACCAACCGAAAGAGTGTGTCGAAATACAGGTGGAAAAACATATGGTCCAATGAAATTTGTCATCCGAAATGCGCAGCACGCCACACTTCTAGTTGAAATACTAGCAGGTATTAAAAAGCAAAATTGGCTAGGTGAACGTAACTTCGATTACTTGGCTAGCCACAAGTGACCTGGAAGAGGCAGTTAAATCTACCAGTAGCAGTGAAATCATAAAAAAACAACAGTATTCTACCCAATCGATTTAATCCACTTCAACCACTTTCAATAAAACTTAACAGTTGTGAGAAGCAGCTTGTGGGGAACTGTCGGACGCGCAGATCGATGTAATAATGTGGAAGTTCCAAAATATGGAAGACGCCATTCAGACAGCCGTCTAGAAGTCTGCTTTTTATATGCGTGTGTAAAGGCGGCGTGTGGAATTCATCGTCTTTTCAATGCGATGAAAACGTAAATGCTGGAAAAAACAGACATGCTAGAATGCATCCCAGGGGAACACGTGGCAGCGAGAGGACTGCAACGAGGTTACAAGCTGACAATTGAGAGGAAATCAGTCTGGAATGCGTTTCAAATGCGGATTGGCGTTGAATGGGCGGTGACTCAGTGGTAACTTGTCGCCTTCACGAGTTAACATCAAGCTGTCCAAATATTGGATCGAAATTCCAGCACAGTCGGAAAAAAGGCGTTTATGAAAAAAAAACGAGAAAGAACTGACAAAAAAGCAAACAGATTGATGGAAAGCCTAGCGACACTTGCATGGTACTAAGGGCAAGCGTTCACACAACCACAATGTCGTAATTACCCAGGTTAACGTAAGGACAAACCCTACTTCTATCGGATTGATGAATCACGTCAAAAACTGCATAAATATAGCTACATAAAAAATCCTTGGTGTCTTAGATCTGCTTGCGATAAACTTCGTGTTACGATGTATAGGTAGGTGCAAAAGAGTTAAAATAGCACGAAAATTACACGTACTAGACACTAAAAATTTAGGACAATGTATAAAAGGAGCTGGTATTTTATTGTTAATGGAAGCTCTTGAATTCACCATGATTTCTAAGAAAGTGCTTAAAGCATGCAGTTGCCCGCCGAATGCATTAGTCCGTTTAAACAATATCAGGCTAGATGACACGAGGTGAATTTAAGCGATCGATTAGTACACGAATTCACCCTAATTTACTAGACTATTGATGTCTGCTCAACAAAAATCAATAGATATTAGGGAAAGATATGATAGGGGGGAAGAATCACGAGCATACCAACCCCCTTCAGTATCCGCTTGAATAAATTAAGAAGGCTACCTTCAGGGGGCGCGAGGTGGGAAACGGATGATTAATTTAAGACAGCAACAAGTTCTGACATCAATGTCACCCATCTCTTTCCGTAAATTAATCATCAGTAAAGTCCTGGCTGCTATGAAAGTGGGAAGGGCAACAAAATCACCTTTGGAAGTCATTGATATCAGGTTTAAATCCTGCCAACCGAGAATCCCAACCCACTTCGCCCTCTGGCAAATAGCGTATTTATTGGTCAAATACTTTGTCAACAATCTTAATCAGCGATAATCGAGTTGCACTGAAGATGCAGTCAAAAGAATTTAATCATTTGGATTCGTCCGACCGCCTTCCAATCGTGGAAATTGACCGCTCAACCTGAGTCCTTCGCAGAAAACAGTTTATTACTACAACCAGAGAATGGGTGTCCTACCTTCGAAAATAGTGGATCCACTAGAATTTTGCCTTGACGATTACTTTTTGACGCGAAATCGAAACAATCGAAAAACTTCGTCTACAAAAATTGGTCAAAGCCGGAGCGCCTTTCGATTGCGATTTGACAAGCCCTCCACGGTCGGTTCTCAAATTTCTTATGGCCAAGAGTACAGAACAAGGTGCCTGATCGTAGTTATTGCATTGTACAACCAATTGCGAAGTCATTAGACGTTGTTAGGACCTTGCACAAAGTGTGAGAGCGTAGTAAGAGATTTCGTTCTTCAAATGCAGGAAATTTAATGGTTTAATGCACAGTTCGAGTGCTCACACCAACTCACATTTATCGATAAATTCGGGATTTTATGACTTGGATACAAAAAAACTCTACAATCCTACACACACCTACATTTCACTGGTCTCGTCGGGGTTTATCCAGCAGTAAAATCTCCACAGCAAGCCACAAACCTAACTTTATGCACTTTAGTGAAGGTAGTGCGAAGCCGAGATAAAAATCAGTTCGAAACAAGGAGAGAAGTCGCCGTGATAGTTGCACACAGTCCATAACTTCAAAATCATCTCAAGTAACCAACACTAACGGCATCGATATATCGTAATGGAACCTGGAAAATTAACATAAACCTGCATTTGTACCACGAAGGACCTAATTTGGACACACCAGGGTTCCCGGAATGTCCTCCGTTTCAACCCCCTACGTTTTTACGGTGACGGCTAAGCAACATGCGGTCCAGTAAGCAATTATTCCACGAGACACAAAACTTACATCGGATGCGTCAATGCAGCCACAACCACCACCACGAGTACCGCTTTATCACCTTGAGCCGCTCTCGCATTTTAGATGCATGAAGCCCAAAGCATAGATTTTTCTTTGGATTAAAATCATTATTTTGATTTCGAAAAAAACTACACTTTAACTCGCCAATGAAAGGGAGCATAGCCCGATTAAACGGCGTGAATACTTTTTCACACTCATGTAACATGGTGTGAAACAAATGTAGCTATTTTATTTTCAGTTTTGAATATTAGTTCCCCACACAAGTTAATTTTTAAGGAAAATTATTTTTTTAAGGTTTCGCTGGCTTACGACGCACTCGAGTAACCGTGAGCTAATATTTCAGCTATAAAAGAAACATCAGTACACTCAAAAGTGCATGCTTCTGTCGTCCACGAAAAAAGCGGCCACGGACTTTTGCGATCGCCCAATGTACAATTTTTATCTCCTGTCACAATAAGGCTTCGGATAATCGCTTTGGCTTAACGAGATGCAGCACTTTTGCCTTTCACACACACAAACATTGAAAAGGACTTTGCTTGCAAGCAAAGATTGTGCTGTGAAAGAATTCACTTTATCCCACCATACACAACGACTGACGTAAATTTCAACTTACGCAAGCGGTAGTTGCAATTACGGACAGAGGGGCACCTATGTTTGTCGAGCTGACTGCGCTCATTTGATATCACGCCTAGCAGTCAGGTGCTTACTCTGCTGGCGGACGAAGCTGCCAAAATATTGCTGTGGATTTGGGCGAGGAAGTGCGGGAGATGGACGTTGCCAATTAAATCCTGTCTATAACATGGGGTAGACTGGAGCAGCTATCGTGGATTTGTTTTTTCACTGTAATCCGCAACATTCGGTGTGTCCGTGTTACTGCAGCAGTTCGAACTGTCGGCTCTAAATCATTCCGTGTAATTTGCTCTGGCAACGAGACGCTTGTGGTAACCCAGTTAGAGCACGGACACTCATGAATTTACCAAATGAGCAAACATCACAAGAGTTTACCACATCGTTGGAGGACTTATTGGCTCTAGGCTAACACCATTCGGCCTTGCCTGACAAACCCCTGATAGGTCGCAACCAATGTAACAAAACTTACCCTGTCTATGGACTCAAAGAGACGGTGCTCACGAAGGGACAGGTCAACAGAAAAGGCGACGTTAATGCACTCAAGTAAACCGCTTTCATATTACAACAGAAAAATTAGTAGTAAAACTTTTTGGATTTCTCTCAACTCAACCAATTCAGGGCGTTTAAGTTTACAAAAGAAAGAGCAGCCAGTGCAAAACTGACGATTATCAAGAATAAGCAAAGTAGGGGAAACGGGAACTCACTCTTTTGAGCTGTGCACATTCGTGAGGCATATGAAGTTGGCACGGACTTTCCTGAGGCTGGCGAGTATCTGAGCGAAGGGCGTCACAATTGGCTCCTCGGAGTGGCTAAAAATGCAGAAGGAATCGCGTCGTGAGCTGACGGTAATTCCACTGCTGTTCAGCGAGACTCTCGACACCCCCGGGGAGACGGGAGGGTAGCGGCCCGGCAGACGTGCGAGTCGGTCGCAGGCCTCACTCGTTGACGGCCCCTCCTCCTCCTCCGCCGCCGCCACCTCGGTCCCCCTTCTTGTTCGCGTTCGTGACATAAAGTTTAGCCGGGGAAAGCCACCCCTTTCACTCTTTTTAAGCAACATTCTCTTCCTAAAAGACGACCCAGGAGCACGCAACTTCATAAATCCGGATTTTTTTCGACTTGACCCACGTCTTAAATTGCTATCTCCCTCGGTAGGGGAAGCGGGTTCGACTGGACAGCGTTTTGGCTCGTTCAGGGGTGTTTCTGAGGTAATACCGGTTATTTTTCTGCGATTACTCATGCCCAGGGGTTTGTAGACGGTTGCGCTGATACTGGAGCTCCGACGGCTGTGTCCCAAATCGAAAGATTCTGCGATGGCAAGGCAGGCGGTTGTCTCAACAACGAGCGTCGGTCGACGGCCGGTCTCAAAGTCGACCTCGAAGTGGGGGGTGGAGTGGCGTCGTGGGGGTCTGTTCTCACTGTTGCCGCCGCCGCCTCCGCTGCTGCTGTCACCGGTAATCCCGCGCGAACCGTGATTGGAGGTGTCGCCAGCTGTGTGGCCGTTGGATTTGGCCCACGACGATCTTCGACACAAACTGAAGTCGTCGCAACAAATACTCGCTAAACTGGAGGCCGGCTCTGTGATTACGGTGGACGACGCCGGCAACAAGTCGGATGAAATCTTTGAGTGGCCTTGAACCTCGATTATCTTCGATTTTTTGCGGTTTACAACACAGCAGAATCGCCACATACGCGCGCCCTCAAGGTCACGACGTCCTTCAACGTGAGGAGGACCCCGGATTGTGCGCTCTTGAAGTGGGTACGCGTGAATTTTAATTATCCAGATATAGTCCACTTAGTTAAGGATCGAACCCCAGGCTTCATGAAATGCTGGGTCCCTGGGAAAGATACTACAAATCCAGTTTGTGTGTGTGGGTGTGTATAAATGTATGTGAATGAAGTGGGTTTGAGCAGCTACATGCTCAAACATAGGGCGCTTAAAAGCACTCTCACGTTGCAGGGGATGGCAGAACCTTGTGGACAGGCGGAGGCGGAGATGAGGCAATGCACGCGCGCACGCACACGCACACACACGTGTCTTCTTCCAAGGCGTGAACAGACAGGCGCAGCGTGGACGCATTAACCAATCACCGCGCGCGCTGACAATTGCCTGCCGATGATTGGGCTGTGTGTCTGTCTCATTCTGGGATGTGTTCGAAAGGCCCGCGTGAATCCACGTGCATGCAAATCGTGTATTCCTGCTGCAGCCTTCGTGACTCGGGAGGAGGGGCGACGGCCGTTATCGCTTCTTCTCAAGACGAGTTGTGGTGGTTATTTTGCCATGCGGAAGGAGGTCAGGAAAATCTACCTTTTCCAACTCGAGGTGGTGAAGTAGCATTGTGTCAAAAATTGGGGCGTCACGTGGCACCGATAAGATGTTACTCTAGCTTTAAGGTGGGAAACCCGTTTCCGGCATGCGCAATGATCTACTCGGGCGTCGGGTTTACTGAATTAATTAAGTAGTATTTGTGGTTTCAATAAGTGATTGAACTCCAACCGCACAACTGAGCATAATTTCGAGAAATTTCCATGAATTTAACCAAAAATAAGTAGCTGGACGCCTAAGCTATTGGCCGAAGGAGATTGGGACAACTGATTGACACTACTTGAATAAAAAATAGCATAATTAGCTGAATAGATCGAGATTATATTCAGCAACGCCATTGTTAGCGTAAACTGATGGAGTTTTTGGTTCGGTTTGTAGCGTGCTGGGGCAAACGCAAGCACCTGGAATCAGCCAATCGCAGCGTCATCCTTCTTTATTCGCTTGATTTGTTTATCATGTCAAAAAATTAGTCTTTCTCCCTTCGTCGAGCATTTAAAATAAGACATCGCTTCGGCTTCTACATCGATCTAGTCTTTTCACTCAGAGGAAGCAACGGTAAACAAAGGCATTGTGCCTGTTCCTATTTAAACAAACAGAGCAGTTTTAACCCTGGAACAAAGTGAGTTTTGTTTAAACTAAGTCAGGCCCGATGCACGATTTAAACAAGCCCGCCTTTTTAATGCACAGACATAATGGATTCTCAAGTCTAGACGTCTCATAAAAGAGAATAGAGTCACCGCAGACAATGAAGAAGGCTGACACGCTACATTGGATTCTCAAACGGTACTATGCTTGAGTTAGCAAAACGGGTGATGCGTTTTATTTTAAAGCCCTCAGCAGTGGTTAGTATGGCCACATTAAAACAGATCACAGGTAACCTCCGTTTTCGGTGTCAGACAGGTCAATAATGTGGTATCAGCAATTAGTGAGCTGAACTCGACCCCATGATAATCAGCTTGATTGCTGATTATTTGGAACCCCGATGGTTAGTATAGAGGTGTTTTTCCTAATCAGTCCAAATAATTCCATCCCGTTTCTTCCACACACATTTGGTCTGAAAGCAAGGTTTGTTCCATGTTTCCCTTAACAAAACAAACTATAAGCACGTTTACTGATTTGTAAATAGTAGATAGTTTAAAAAGATTCGAAATGGCACGTCCTCATTGCTTGTGTAACAACGAGGAATCAGTAATATGATAATTCCTAATTAAATAATCTTATTACTGTCCAGCAAAATGCATGTTATTAGATTTTTATGTAAGACTAAGCCTAGACTTCCAAATCGGTGCCTTAATGAAGGCCATTTCGATTTGAAAATACTTAAAAATGATTCAACTCTAAATTAGACAGAGTAAAACAGTAAAATAAACAATTATTTGTAACTGCAAAATGACCTTAACATATTAGCAAAAAGGATTTTTAAACATTTTTCTGTTAAATTATTCTTTACATTTACTTTTTGTTCCAATTTTAGTAAATTTTATTTAAAATAAAACCGACGAAATGAGATTCCAACGGGGTGACATTTCGGAAAACCATAAAAAACTGCTTTAATTTTTGCCATCAAAACATATCTGTAGTATCATTGGATAGTTTAAATGCTTCGATTTCGGATGATTAAAAATCGAAGCAGGAAGAAATGTGGTCATTTTCAGTAGCTAACTGTATCACTCATTTGATGTTCTCACCTTCATTGGAATGGACGCCTGGTTAGCCAAATTCATCATTTATGCTCAGAATCACACAGTTCTCACTTAATTTCCAACGAATGGCCTTGAAGAAAATAAAATCAATGAAAGATCTACCCAGTTAGAGGTACAAACATGAAGCAAACATTTGGCCAATCAGACATGCACTTATGAAAAATTTGCACAACATTGCAGATAATTGTGAAAAAAAGGTTTTCTTAGCTCACAATGCCCATCTCGTAAGGTGATATTTATCTGGACAATTAACTTAATTGCGTTACTGCTGATAACGTCATTTTACTTGAAAGGAAAAAAAAGATTTTTTAACAGGAACGACTGCCGCTTAAACGATCAAGATAATGTGAGTCAATGGAATCGACTGAAATCCTTGTCATTAACGAAGACACTACTGATTTACCTAAGAGATGCCTCACGCTAGTTAGTTGCAGCAAACGCGCTCTCTCTAGCCACTATCCACAGCGTCGTTGCTTGAGATGCCCTCAACAACAAAAGCGTTTAATTGCGCGTAGTAGAGGGAGGAGCTGGGGCGATGCATATTGCGAATGACATGACAAACGCCGTACACTTACTGTCACCAGACGTGAAACACTGGCGTCGCACTATGCTGTCCGGCAAGCAGGACAATTTGAGGCAATCAATATGCAGCCATGTGGACGGTGCGCTTAGCCACCAGAGGAAAAAGCATTTAGGAATTAAAAAATTTAACTCACGAGGCTTCTCCCTTGGGTGAGTTGTCGGGCTACGCTTTGCAGGTTTGTTGTTTACTAATCAAACGGTCACAATGTTTCGCACGTTGAAAACATAACAGCTGAGCGTTAAAACGCACTAGAGGGGAGTATCTCCTAACAAAATTGACTAATCAAATTATTTATTCTCAATTGTCAAATTCATCCACAGGCAGGATTAAGATCTCGCCTGTTTTACAGGCTTTTAAGAGTCTTATGACCAATCTCGTGTTTTGATGGGTTTTTTCCCAATCACAAGCAAACAACAATTATTTTGTGCCTGCTCTTTCGCATTTTACTGCATTTCGCCTCTGCTGAAGTCAGTATTTTTCACTCCATAACGCAGTCACTTAAGCCACGCAGCACGATTTTGTGTGGAAAGGCACAATGTAGCTTTAACAAACCTAAACAGATAATGTTGAAAAGGCAATTTATTATTTTACTACATTTAAATCACCCTGCCCGTGATACGGCAGTGTAAACTTAATCAAAGGTGAAGAGAAAACGTGCATCCTGGAGGTGTTTTATTTCACCTGACTGACTTATTCGATGGAGAATCGCATGTCAAGTCACCTTGGTTTATAACCAGGAAGAATTTTGAGTCAAATTAAACTCCAAATGTAACTTTGTGTTCCCATGGCGTGTTTTAATTAGCAGGGCTTCGTGACATGTGGACCTTTTTGGTCTGCGTTTTAACGCTACTAAAACCGTGCTCTCACCGAAAATGAGCAGACCTCGCGAATACAAACAAAGTCGGCTGGTTTGTTTGAAAGCGCATCCTTTTTTAGCGCTTTCTACAAATCCTGGGGTAAATGGAATTGCCGATTTATCATCTGTCTACTTTGGCCATGTGTTTTCAGATAGTAATTTTTTTTCATTCGGTCACATGTCATTTGATGTAGCGATTTCTCTGCTTACCAACATCGCTACTTAGCCTGGTTGGGTATCACAGGGCGTTGAGAAAAAAAATTAACATTTAGAAATCTCTCCATTAAATATCCTCAAAGCCTATCAATATTCGGGTTCTTTTATTCCAAAAAATTACGCTGAATTTAGTTAGGCATGATAATGTAAAAAATACTAGGTTAGTACCTGATCGGAATTAAGTAAAACAGCGCTGAAATCTGTTTCGGTGAATCGATTTCTAGATCCAAAAAGGGAGGGATTGGCCAATTGAAAGTGCTAGAGAATGTAGACGAACACTCACTTTAATCGACAGTCCCGTTAAATAAAATCAATCAACATTATTTTAGTTTTGTAGAAAGTGTAAATGATTTCTAACGTCAGTATTAGACGCAGACACCAAAACGCCCAATGTCCGAATAATTAATTACTAATCATGCATCGAATTACTAATTCTACATTTTTATAAATCAGGTTACAACGCAATCACTTCTTTGAAGTCTAATGTGAAGCTTCTGTTGTGAATCGTGTTTATGCACACCCCTTGACCCGGTCGCTCCAGTCTCCGACACGGGGTTCCCCTTTTCGCAGCATGTTGCCAGCCGCGCGGATCCTCAGCTCCTCCCTCATTCACACTGATATTACCTTGGCTTATCCTCGCACCTTGGTCTTGATGTTGACGCATGCATGACTCACACACCAGAGGTCTAAATACACACGTAAACCCCACCCACGACACATCAACACCAACGTGGTTGAGATCTGAAGCAAACGGTTGTGTTCACGTCCTTTCCGGTCTTTTTCTTCATCACCGATATCAGGAAAGCGTAATCGGACAAGGGTTAATTCCGTGGCCCCGGCGTGGTTCAATACCACATGCTGGGCCCGCAACACAAGTTGAAGCCCACAAACACAGTAATCAGCAAATCCACGTCTGCTGTCAAAGTAGCTAGCACCTAAGTCCTGCATCATATCTTAAAAGCGTTTTGCAAATGCGACAAAATATCACTTGTGAAACCTACGTGTCTTTAACCACATGTTAAGTGATTACAATGTTGCGTGCGTTGAAATGTTTTTTTGTGAGTTGGCTAGCAGGATTATTTGGGATTTCAATTTTTTTAAAAAAGTGAAATTTTTGAGACAGTAGAGTAGGCCTTAAAAAAAATCAGATGCCAAAAAGACAGCTAGAACAAAATTAATGTATCTCTAACATCTTTACTGCGCAGTTACATTCGAATTAAGGGTTGAAATTCCTTTCCTGGTTAAAATAACGTCGGAATATCTTTGAACCTGGCCTGAGAATTGAAGCAGCCTTAGAAACGCATTCATTTTGGTCACATGTATAAAGGTTTGAATAAAGTGTGATTCTCCACAAGAGCCAGTTGGTCATGTCAGAAAGAAACAGTTTCCAGGTGCTTAAGCAGATTAGGCACCTGCAGAGCGGTTGGCCACTACACCGAAAGCGGTGTCTTTAGCCTGCAGAAATGCGTTTTGACCCAACTATAGTTAGTTTGAGTGTGAATCTGTGGTCAGTGATCGCTGATCGCTGTAGCTAAGCAAAGTAGGAAACCGTAATACGAATGGATGTATTCGTTACGTTGACGCTATTTTTGAGTGCCAAAGTGCAATAATCTTTACCACAGGTGACCACTGCCATTTAAACTGCTTCAAA